AACCAACTGAGCCATACAGCCAGGACACTGGTTACATTTTTTTACCTCAAATTGTATGGGCCCTTGTAATAATAGCTAGTGTTGCCTCTTTATTCTTGGTCTCTATGATTGCCTCTCTGACAAATAGTGTATAGTCCATAATCTTTCCAGTGTCTTCTCACCCCGATGTTTCATAACTCAGTGACTCTGTCTTAGAGTTGTTCTGCATTTGCTTGCTCGTCCATGGTGACCTTGTTTGAGCCCTGTTTAGTTTATTTGTTGCCTGACAATACATACCAAGCCTTACAGGGATCATTGACTTTATATACATTCAATTTATTGACTTTAGTCATCACTGTTGCCTTATAGCCCCAAAAAGCACCCCAAAAGGTGTACACCAAGGCCACCCCTACAAGGTGAATGCCCTTCTCATTGAAGGAGAAGAAGGGCATTTCAGGGCTGAGGAGGTTCAACCTTCCTATTCCCCATCCAGCCTCCTGCTTCGGCCCTGATTTTTCTTTCTTTTTATTTTTTCAGTATCCAGCATTGATCTTACAGATAATCACAGATTGCAGCAATGTAACCCTGAGAATTCAGGTTAGTTTGTCTGCTTGTGACTGTCATCACACACTCTCTTTTTTTCAGTTTGCTTGGATGTGGTATAGAGTTTATCACCGATTAAAAAATTAAAATCAGGTCTGCAATTGCAGAAAACATTGAATAAATTTATATCCAAGAAGATAAGTATCCCTATTATGAAATCTCCTCACATCTGTTAACTCCTACTGAATAGTGGGTGACCTCAGTATAGTGGGTTACAAAATGATAAATAACTTATACTGAATATTATAGGCATATTATCAAGGAAATGTATAAAAACTTTATCTACAAATATACCAGGGATTACCCATTACCATCTCAGAGTCTATTAAACTAATACAGTAGAAAAATGTATTTTATCATGACCTAAAAAATTTAAAACACGGTCCTTAGATCTGCTTAAAAAAAAAAAAAAGCACTGGATTAGGAATCAAAAGATCTGATATCTATTTTGACCCAACTACCAGGAAACCTTGGGCAAATCCATCCTGTCTGTGAGCCTCTCTCGTCCATCTCGCATCTCTGACAAATGGTAAGAAGATCCTGCACTTAAGGTAAAACGGCAGCCTCTTTCCCTGGTGGAGCCTACTTCATTCCTGGGCTAGTTGCCCCATGCACATCCGGCCCAGCAATTAGGTGTGTGTCCACGAAGAGTTCGTTGTGATTGTTGCCAGGGTCCTTGTAATTACTTAATGCAATACAAAATTTGTAAATTGATGAAATGAAAATATAAAAGGGCAGTTTTATGTCTCTGACAAATAAGTGAAAAGCTATGGGGACTCGGTTCAGGTGACTGTTACTAACGAAACATACAGATGTATTAAATGTGGGCTAGGTATTTGTATAGGACTGGACACAGCATTTAGAAGGTTTCACTTCACAGGCGTTTTGGACTCTATCAGTATGAAGCCATTTTACACAAAACTAAAGACAGGAAGTTTTTGTATTTACAGGGATGGGTTGAATTTGGAATGCGAATTTGCTTGAGGGCCAGCTTGTGGTACATCTTCATAGGTACTTATTTTTTAAGTTTTTGCTTCCTTCTGTTTTGCTCATTCCCTTTTATGGGTGTGGAGTGGCACTGCTTCATATTCCTCTTATGCCAACGGTACTGTTCTTTGGGGTCCCACCTGGTAAATTTGAGGCCTCTGACTCCCAAGTTTCGCAGGCGCAAAGATTTTATATTTGTCTTCTTGCCTAAAAAGCCTGTCAAAACAGCATTTCAATATTTTCCAATCAGGAAAAAATTTCAGGGCAAGAGTGGCTTCCTTCCTATGCTTACTTCTCTAGGGCCCTACTTTCCCTTAGAGCTTGGCCTGCTAATCTCTCCTTACTTTTTCAGCTCTTTGATGATACTTAAATTATATTCCAACAAAACACTTTGTTTTCAGCACGAGGGTTTTTCTTTATAACCTGGCCCACATCCCATGCTATAGACTTTCCACAAGCCACTCATTTATGATTCTTGCCGAAAACTAAACTGGCTTTTGAAGTGGACACGCCCCTCCGGAAGAGGTTGGTACCGGGTAAGGCTTAGATTGCCATAACAAACTGCTCCTAAAGGAAAACTAAAGTCACGGGGCTCCTTTGCATTACCTGATTCTGCCACCAACATGCTAAAAGACCTTATTTTTTAGGTGCCCAAACTGTTGGTAGGCAATGATTTTATTTCACTTCTATTTCGTGATTCTTTTTCTTACCTTGTCAGTATTTTGAGAAAGCTAAATTTATATGTATCACCTAATACAGTACTTTCCAGTAAAACTTCATATGATGACAGAAATGTCCATGTGGGACTATTATACACTTGATATGTAGCCAGTGGGATTGAGAAACTGAATTTTTAAGTAATTTTGTTCTAATTAATTTAAATAGCTGCATGTGGCTAGTGCCTTGCCATATTGGGCAGTGCAGATTCTCAAACTTCTGTCTGATACTTCAGGACAAATATTAGTTATATAAGAAGGCTTCATAAAAATACTTTTGTAACCATAGTAGTACCCCAAACAATCCTACTTATTTGTTTTTGGTCTTTGTTGTGATACTCCGACGAGGGCATACATAGAGTGAGGGACACAAAAGGTCAAGAAATTTTGCCTTTTTGAGATTACAGGATGGATCATTTATTAATCTATTGATCCCTTAACAGCTATCACCTGAACATCTAGCACATCCCAGGCACTTGGCATTGGACCTCAGGAGGAAAGCAAAACAAGGGTCCTGCTCTTGTGAAGTGTGCAGTCTAGTTGGGGAAACACACAGGAAACATACAATATATACAATTAATATACAATTTTATATTAAACAATTTTAAATCAATGAACATCTCCATACTTTCTTTTTATGGATATTTTTAATTTGGGAAAGCATCCAAGTCCAAGGTTCTCAAAAGCTTACTAAAGGCTTAGTAATCAACTCTTGGGCAATTATGTCACTCTAACAATATCTCACTTCAACAAGGCAAATAAACTGTGGGTGTTTGTATTAGCTAAGTAAAGAGTTTCTGTTTGTTTTGTAGTTTACTGTTTGGCCCATTCAGTTGGGAGACCAAACAACATATAAGGTTAATGGAAAAAACTTTTCTCTGAAGTCACAGATTTATCAAATTATTGATATTTTTGCCCATGTAAAGGAGCTTAGAAACAATCTAGACCAACCCTTCATTTTACAAATGAGTAAAGAAGCCTAAAAAACAAATTTATTGGACATGAATATGCACTTGCTGTCCTAGCCCCAGGTTTCAAGAATCCTTCACCAGTGTTCTATCGACCATATCACACCAACTTCAAAGTAATCCAAATTGTTCTGATTTCTCAAAGTTCCTAGTCAATTCATTTTCTGGAATCAATTAATTTGAGATTTTAATGTTTTCATGATAACAAAAATTTAGTACAAATTCATGAACTTGACATTCAGATCTCACATGTCTCACCATACATCCTTCCATATTCCAGGGTCTACACACATTGTTTTTCCAACTCTGAGCTCCCACCAGAATGCACTTCCTCCTATTCCTGCTTACTTACCCTCAATGCCTACTGAAAGACTACATCTTGCATGAGAACTGTCCTCAAACCTAACCAGAAGAGGACAACAGCTCTTTGTATTTCTCCTGAGGATTTTGGACTCTGCCTTATACTGCAGTAGGAATGACTGCATTGGGTGTAAGAAACTTGGGAACCGGTGCCACATAGTTCTTACTTTTTTAGCTCTTGTCCCTCCTTGCAATCAATAAATATTTAAACTAAAATAAACGTCCATGGAGGCTAAAATTTTCCATAAGGTTTTTCTTGAGGCAGTTGCCAAGTGTTTGAAAAAGCCAGGATAGGGAGACAGACATGAGTGGGATGAAAAAGACTCAGATTGCTTTATAGAGAACCTTGGTGTCAGGACATTTTGTCTTTTCTGGGTGATTTTTCTTTTATTTTTAAAATTCCTAATCTATTCAGTGTAATCGGCCCAGATATTATATATTTTATTCGTAGTGTAAAAACCTACAGAGATAAATTTAAGAGCTTTAGGAAACATTAGAGAAAACAAGAAAATAAAATACTTGCCTGGATGCATTTTGTTGCAATTTAATTTCTCCTTCAATTTTCATAAATAAATGTACCGATAAAAAAAGATCAGAAACATAAAAATCCACTTTATCATTTACCAGTTCAAAGTAAAAAACAACAAAGGAATTTCACCAATTGACAATCCTCTGCAAAGCTCTTAAGCAAGGCCCAAATTTCATTGAAAACTTTCCTCAAGACCACTGTAATCTGACCACACCCATATTTTAATACTGCTTCTGATAAGTTGTTATGGTTCTGTATTTTCTCTACTTTGCTGTAAACCTCTCAAGCTCTTCCTATGAAAACCAGGTTAGGTGGCCGAACCTGGTGAATGATTATCAATGAAAACCGCATAAAGTGCTGTGGAATGGAGATGAAAAAAAAAAAAATCAATTGTGTTCTCCTAAAAGAAATGATGACAGTAGGGAAGGAAAAAAGGTCATGAGTAAAGCCCAGCCTCGGCGGGAGAAGCCGGCGGCCTGGCTCCAGAGCCCTCCGGGTTCGGCTGGCTGCGAGGAGAAGGGCACGAATAGCTGCTCCTGCGAAAGAGTGTGCGTGTGTCAGCGCACGAATCTCTCACACCGCCCGCAGGGTCTGGGCACTCGTCACAACCCTTGACCGCCTGGTCAGCAAACAACAGCTGATCTGGCACCCTCCCACTCCTAGACTGTCCACGCCTACAAACAGCCGCTAATTTCGGGCAGACCGGAAGCCCTTTTGCCCCGGCTCGCGGGTCTACTAACTAGGCCGGACAGAACCGGAAGCTCTTCTGCCCCGATCTTTGGGCTCGTCAGCGCCGGCTGCACAGGCGCAGTGGAGCTCAGGTCGAGTTGTGGGAGGGGAAAAGGAAGAGGTGGAGGGGGGCGGGGCCGTCCCAGAAGATGGCGGAGGCGGGGGTGAGTTGGGGTCCACCTGCGAAGCGCCAGTGCCTCCGTGCTGAGGAAAGTGGTTTGAGGAAGTGGGTGGCCTTCGGGAAGAGGAAGTGCTGGTGATTTTGCATCCTAGGAACCCTGCTGGCAAGTGCGGGAGCCAGGACTGCGGATGGGGCCTGAAGGGCGAGGGGTTCCGCTCACCTGAAGGGTCGGCGAGGTCCGGACCGGGACGGCGGGGTCGGGGAGAGGTCATCTGAGAGGCCGAGGCTCCCCCGACAGTGGGAGAGGGTTGGAGAAGAAAGAAGGCTGGAGGACGGCGGGATGGGCGACCCTGGAGATCTGATGGGGGTGGAGGTCGGCGAGCTGTCCAGCATAGAGCTGTCAGGACTTGGGAGGCTGGTAAACAGAGAGACTCAGGCTCGGGAGGGTGGTGGATCCCCAAAGGTGGCTATTGCAGTAAGTTTAGAATCCACAGAAAGCCGTGTTGGTTTGGGTTGAGGAGTGGGACTGTGGCATTGGGTTGGAATTGGAAACCCTGGGAGGTGGTGTGCGGGTATGCCGGAGAACTCTTGTTAAGACCGAGAAGTCGTTGGTGATCACTATCACCCTGGGGTTTAAGAGCTGGTCAGTGGGGATCGGCAATGCGGAAAAGGAACAATAACAGAGTGTGGATGACGGGGGGCAGGGAGGTGGTGCTAAAAAGGTGACCAGGACCCATGCCCAGCTAGTGTGGGAGGAAAAGTTATTGAAGTGTGGTCTTAGCCAGGTAGTCCGGGAAAATGTACCTTGAAGAGCTTACTGTGTTGCAGGCTGGATGCAGAAATGCTGTAGAAAGGAATGGAGGGACCTGGCGGCTGTGCTGGCCAGGATCCGTGTTACAGTGCCGCACGGAAGAGAGTCCCAGGCCCGGGTGCAGGGGGAGTGAAGGCAGTGGCTAGACTGGGCGCTCCAACGTTTGGGTAGCGAACCACTTTGTGAAAATGAATGAAGAGAATGCGGCTGCTAGTAGGGTTCCCACAGAAAAAAACAATTAGCCAGATATTCAGATATTCTTTCTATTTCCACCTTCATTCTTTCTCTGGACATGATGTGTAGTGTGCTTTGAGTTCCCAGTAGATATCTGATATGAAGTGACCAAGCTGTGAATCGTGTACATTTGGGGAACAGGTTGGTTCTTTTTAAACTGACAAGTGTTGCTTTTCCATATGGTGGGCTGAAAAGAAAAGGATAAAAGGTAATTCAGTAGTTTAAAGACAACTTGTTTTTATTGTTCTTAGAACATTATTCGCCAACCTTTTTAGAGCCTGAGATTTGTCATTTAAAAGCAGTAATGGGATGTGAATGCTGCTTGCTTAATAGTTTCTGTGTTCGGGTTTTGATGTTGAGAGGAAAGGTGAGTTTCAGTGACTTCAAGGCAAATGTGTTTCTTCCTGGAAATCTTTAGCTTATGACCCACATGTGTGTGCTTATATGTAAGGAGGGCTAAACCTTTTCATTGATTTAAGTGTGTTTTTCCTAATGTTGATGCTTATTCTGTGTTGAGAATGCCATTGTAATTAAGAGAGCAGATGAATAAAAAAGATGTGAGGTAGTAACTTAGTTTTGTTATTTATTAGCCTATGTGACCTAAGCACCTGAAGGGACAGGTTCATCGTAGGCAGCAAACATACTGCCTCCTTGGAAGATGAATGGCCTTGTTTCGTTTTAGGGGTTGGCGTAATTGTGAGAATGCAAATGGTTCTTAAGCTCACTAGGAGATTTTGATTGTGGGTGTGTTTTCAGTGGCCTGTTGCCTGAAATTGTTTCAGTAGCAAATATCAGCTTTGATCTTCATTCACAAAGCCCAGGATCACTTCTAACCCTCTTTTATTCATCTAGAAGTAATAATATTAATCCACTAACAGGTAGTCATGTGTCTTTTCAGTTTTGATGATTTGTTATTTATCTATCCAAACTATTTGCATCGTGTTGTTCAAGGTAGAATTTTTCATGTCCTGTGGGAGTTTTTTCTTTGTCAGTTATTGAAATAAAAAGCTTATTTTGGTATTAACAGTAGTTTATCAACATAACTCTAAAAAGTGTTTCTTATGTGGCACTTAACTTTTTTTGTACGGTGTTTGTAGCTGGAGGACATGGAGTGAAATGGGAAGTGCTCTGGACATGGAGTCAGAGTGCTTGGGGCCAATACTAGTGCTTTTTGGTAATAGTCTTATGATCTCAGAAAGTTACTTAGCCTATGTTATTTTATAAAATGGAGATTATCTTGCCTATTTACCAAGGTTATTATTGTTGAGGATCTGTTGAGTTATTATTCTCTGAAGGGTACTTTTGTACCAGAGACTTTTTGCCTGGTCAGCAAATTATTTCTTGAGTGACCTAAATTTTTCAAATATAGATTATTTTTTAATTTTGGAGAATCAAATTTATCATTGATGTAAGAGTAATATTTAAAGGTGTAGGTACTCTTTGTTTTAAGAAAATAATTTCAACGCATAATCAGAAAACCAAACTTTAAAACAAACAAATTAGGGGATACTTATTACATGAGCTTTCACTTTAAAACAACTATTCCTCTAGTGTGTGGTTAATATTATAAACAACATTCCTTTTTAGTAACTTAAGTGTTCCACAGTAGGGAATGAATGGTCTAGTGGAATTTCTTATTTCTTTGAAGAGTCTGGCCATTTCCAGGAGTTCACTTTACATGTTTATGGTAGCAAGATCCAGTGGAACAGTCTTGATCTTGTCACTTCACTTGCCCACATTGGGTGTCATTTGCTTCTCCAGTAAAATGAGAGAACAGTTAGATCACTGCCTCTTAACTTTTTTTGGTTCGTGGACATTTTGACTACTTGATATAAATTGTGGAACTTTCTTCCTAGAAAATACACATATGCACGACCTTTCTCCTCCTCCTCCTCCTCCTCCTCCTCCTCCTCCTCCTCCTCCCCTTCCTCCTCCTCCCCTTTCCTCCTCCTCCTTCCTCATTCCTCCTTCTCCTTCTTTTTGCATTAGGCTCACATATCCCTTGCAAGAGATGATCTCCAATTTCCCTTCCATTTCTTAAATTTTAGGATATTGTGACTCTAAAGCACTTTAACTTTTATTTTTGCCTATAGTAATTACGTACTATTGTATTATTTTGTAGTCACAAAGTTAGATTTTTGGATTTGTAAAAATTAGCTTAAAAAACTCACTCAAATAAACATCAAACATATGTCATGTTATTTTTAAAGAAAACTTTTGGGGTGAAATAGGAAGCTATAAACCAGCACTACAGGAAAGGTTGAATAAACAGCTGTGGTAGAATAACACAAACCGTTTAGAAAGTCTCAGGCAGCCTTGAAATAGAATGAGGAAAGAGTCTCCAGCAATCAGTGGCTCTCAGCAGAGAGCATTGCCTCTCTTGGGGCATATGGAAATGTGTAGGGACATTTTTAATTGTCTCAAATTGGGGAGAGAGCATATAGTGGCGTTTAGTGGGCATGAGCCAGGGAAGTGTTTTTGCAATGCTTAGGGCAGGTCCACACAGCAAGGAATTGTCCAGCCCCAAATGCCTAAACTCTTTGACAACCCCTGGTGAGTGATTGTGAGATGGGGCCTACCACAACTGAAATAAGTGTTAAAACTAGTTATTTTGCTCTCTTAAAAACATTATTTATTGTACATAAAATATCCTTTGCCATTCATTCCCTTTTGGAAAAAAATGCACGAACATAAACAAAATGATTTACTAGAGCAGTTTGTATTACTAAAAATATATGTACAGTTCAACCTTGAACAACATGGGTTTGAACTGCATGGGCCCACTTACATGCCGATTTCCCTCCAACCCCCTAATAAATACAATTGGCCCTTGGTACTTCTGCTTTTGTATCCATGAATTCAGCCTACCGTGAATTTCCAATCCATGGTTGGGAATCCACAGATGTGGGGACCAACTCTATGCATTGTTCTATGCCATTTTGTATAAGGAGCTTGAACATCTGTGGATTTTGGTATCTGTGGGCAGCGCTCGAAGATACTGAGAGCCAATTTAGTTAAGTTTTCAGGGCAGGGGCAGAAATTACAGATTTTCAACTGCAAGGGCATCAGCACCCTTTACCCCCTCTCTCCCCCATTGTTCAAGAGTCCACTGAATATTCTCTGTCCTCTAGTAGCTGTTTTAACAGCAAAAGTGGGGCTTTGCTGTGTCTACTGGAAGTTTATGGAGTGAAGAGTCAGCTGTTGGTAATGCAGTATGTTAAGTTGGCAATATGATTTTTTTTAAACATTTGTTTTACTCTTTGATCTAGTACATTTAAATAAAATTTCAAGGTGTTTGTACACTTATTCTCCTGGTCTTTGTGTTATTATATAGTCTCCCCCTTATGTTGGCATTGGTACCTTGAGAATATATTATAGTTGAGATTGTTTTCTAATGTTTACCTGTGAGCAGCAGCTTGAGTTTGGCAAAGAAAGAATTCAGAGCCAAGAGCTCTAGCATAGGAAGTTTATTTAGAAAGTCCCAGAGGTAGAAGAAGTGAGCTAGCTGGGTTGTGTGGACTCAGGAAACAACTTATACAGGCAAAAGACAGGCCTTGGTGCTTAGGAGGAAGAAAGCAAAGGTACATACCTGAGGGAAAAGAGAGGGCAGGCGCAGGCATGCTCCAAAGAGAGAGCACACTGGGTCCTTTGTCTTAAGGGTTTGCGTCTGTGTTCTAAAGGTGGGCATTTTAGGGGAGCTCTCCGGGGGGATCTCAGTAGAATATTTATCAGCTTTCCAGGTGTGTCCTTTCAGGATCCTGGTCTCTAGGGTCAGTGCTAGGATAAGGGTTCATTAGTCATTGCATCTGGTCCAAATGTCAGTCATTGCGTGGCTTCATCTGTTTTGCTGCTTTTCTGGGCCTGTAGCTGAAACACAACTGAGGCCTAGATATTATCTCTAGTTTGACCAAAACTCTGTTTTCCTGGTCAACAGATCCAAGGCATTGCTTCTGAGATTATTGAGACTGGTCAAAATTTCATTATCCTGAGGGCGTAATGCGTAAGGGAGTGGTCGTGTAAGGGAGAAGGACACAGGTGGGTTAGGGTGCTGGATGAGGCTGGTTTGAGTCAGCCATGTCTCAGTTTCCCCATCCCACTTGCCAAGGAATTTTCCTAGCTTCTTACTATCCTGCCTCAAACCCATCTTTTCAGTCATCCTCGTCTGTAGATCCAGATGCCAAAAGAGAAGCCTGAGGAGTTAGGCTGGAATGGGACTCAAGGTTTAGAGGAAAGAGAAGGGGTTTTGGAATCAGTCAGATGTAAGGAAAAATTCCAGTTCTAATATTGTATGTCAGGTGACCATAAGCAAGTTGCTAAATCTCTTTGACTTAATATCTTCATTTGTAAAATGAGGATGATAACACCTACCTTTAGGATTATTTTGAAGATTAGAGTTACTGTATGTCTGTCATGGAGTAGGCCCTCCATAAATGGGTGCTATATCAGTAGTCATGGTGATGATGATGATGATGATGAAGATGAAGAAGAATTCTGTAGCTACTGAACACCTTGCTAAGTGACTAGAACACATGGCATGCTGGAATGCTGCATACTACTGCAAGGAATAGTCTGCAAAACCAAGTCAGGAGATGTTTCTGGGCAATTTCAACTGGTGTTTAGAGTCTTTTTTTCCCCATGAATCAGCTGTAACATGTACTGTTTTCCCTAGTCCTCTAAGCTGTAGAACTTAGTTATGCTATAGACTAAGAAGGTTTTCGAGGACTAGCTTGAGGACAGAATTCCCCCCTTGAGTGTTGGGCACAGAGCTTTGGGTGTGGCAGAGGCTCAATAAAAAAAGTCTGTTCTCTGTGTTTATCATATGACACTGGTAAGCTGTGAAAGTTGCTGGTACTTACGAATATTCTCATTTTCATGCGGATTATTTCTAAAGTCAGTATCCTTCCCCTCAATTTACACATGGGTTTTATTCCAAAGCTCATTTGTAAGGTAAGTTGGAACTTGGAAGCTCAGAGGAAATATAGTTTAAATTATGATTACATGCTCAGTTGCCTTTCTTTTCTTTTTAAAAAAAATATATTTTATTGAATTTTTACAGAGAGGAAGGGAGAGGGATAGAGAATTAGAAACATCGATGAAAGAGAAACATCGATCAGCTGCCTCCTGCACACCTCCTACTGGGGATGTGCCCGAAACCAAGGTACATGCTCTTGACCGGAATCGAACCTGGGACCTTTCAGTCCACAGGCCGATGCTCTATCCACTGAGCCAAACCAGTTAGGGCTCGGTTGTCTTTCAAAAGGCCTGTTTAACCCAGTGTAGTTTGATTCAAAAAGAGTTAATCCAGCCCCAAGTGACTTATCTCAGTGGTTAGGTTAGAGCATTGGCCCACAGACTAAAGGTCACAGGTTCGGTTCTGCTCAAGGGTACGCACCTCAGTTGCATGCTCAATCCCTGGCCCCAGTCAGGGCAACCAGTGCGGGAGGCAACCAGTTGTTGTGTCTCTCTCACATTGATGTTTCTCTCTCTCTGTCTCTCCCCCTCCCTTCCACTCTCTCCAAAAATCAATGGAAAAAAATATCCTCAGGTAAAGATAAACAAACAAATAAACAAAAATAGTTAACCCAGTTTCATTAACCAAATGTGCATATGTAGAGCTCCCACTGTGGGCTGGGCAGGCACCGTTCTGGGTACATAGACACACTGGAGACTTAATAGTGAATAAGACCTATATAAAAAGTTTATAATCCATGAAGCAGCTATACCTATTATTAAAAGGTAGCTACTTAAGTGTCATCCTAACCTTTTAAATAAACTGCTTTGAGACTCAAAGGAAACATCATTTATGTGCTGACTTCTGATCATGCCCAGGATATGTTATATTGTTGGATGGGATAAAAGTAAGTTAATAAAAATTGTATAGTATTTTCCCATTTAAAAAATACAGTTATATTCATAGAAAACACAGAAGGATATGCAACACTTTGGGAAGCTGAGCACCATGGTTAGAATGAGGGTTTTGGAGCCAGACACCATGGATTTGAATCCCAGCTCACCCTCTTATTAGGGGTATAAACTTGGTTAAGTCACTTAACCTCTTTTTGCCTCACCTGTAAAATGGATATAATAATTGCACTTACCTTTTAGGTTACTGTGAGAGTTATATGAGTTACCATATGTCAGGTGCTTAGAGCAGCTCATAGAAAGCCTTAAGTGTTGTCTTAAATATAAAGGAAAGATAACTTTGGTTAGAGTGAACAAATAGACCGATTGTATTAGCAAAGATCTAAGTTTTAGGAGTCAGGATCTATATGGATAAAACTCATCAAAATCTAGGTCATTCTTCATTTTTTTAGTTCCCTTTCTTCTGCTTCTACTCCAGCTTTCTCGCCAAAGCTCCCATGCTTGCAGGAAAGGTGGATTGGGCCCAGGCAGGGGTGGGGCACAGCTGTGGCTCTGGAGGGAAGGGTCAGGTCTAGTTTCTGTGCTTGGTGTGTGTGTGTGTGTGTGTAGGTGACTGAATGGTGGTCTGCTTTTTTTAAGACACTTTCGTGCAGAAATTCAAATATATAAGCATTAGACTTTAAAACATGTCATTATGTTCCCCACTGAAGATTGTCCTCATGAACAAGTCACTTTTATTGATTTTCAGTCAGAGTATGTTAATTTTTTGTAAAGTATAAATTAGTGTATTTTCTGTAAAGTATAAATATTTAGGTAGGAGCAACAGATTTGATCTTCCAGATTCTAATGGAAGTATCCCATATAACCTTTTCTCTGATGTGGAGCAAACTGTTCTTACTATTATTTTAATTTTAAATCTCTTAGGTCACATATTCTATCCTAGTTAAGTGTTAAGTATGCACTTTTTAAAAATTGCATAATTCATATAAAAATGTTTTTTAAACCTTTTTTATTCAGTAAGTAACTAATTTAAATAAATATATCAGATTGTTATTTCATTGTTTGTCCTTTTACATTAATTACTATTGAAATCAGGACAATTATATAATCATTTATTAGACCCATACTAATTTTTTTTTTTTGCCGTCTCTTGCAGGATTTCTGGTCGGTCCTATTTCAGGGCAAGATGCGGTTCTGTTGAAACGCCAATCTGCTTTGATTCACAGACAAGTCGTTTCAGCTGGGAAGCCTTTTTTTTTTTTTTTTCCTGCTGGCCTACTGAACTTATGAAGCCATGGCAGAAGGAGAGACAGAGTCACCTGGGCCCAAAAAGCGTGGTCCTTACATCTCATCTGTAACTAGCTGGAGTGTAAATTTGATGATTCGAGGAGTAGTGCTGTTTTTTATTGGAGTATTTCTGGCACTAGTGTTAAATTTACTTCAGATTCAGAGAAACGTGACCCTTTTCCCACCTGATGTGATTGCAAGCATCTTTTCTTCAGCATGGTGGGTACCACCGTGCTGTGGCACAGCTTCAGGTATGTGCAGGTTATTTCTGTAATGCTTAGGAAGAAAATGGGGTGAATGAGTGTGGATTTTTCTTTTAAATTTAACTTTATTGAGGTATAATTTAAATATAATAAATGTACCTATTTTAAATGAACAATTTGGTGAGTTTAGACAAATGCATGCATTCATGTAACTACCACCTCAGTCCAGTTATAGAACATTGCCGTTCCCCACAAATTCTCTTGTGCCCTCTTGCAGTCCACTTCCCAGCCCCAGCCTCAGGCTTCCACTGATCTTTCCATGACTAGGTTATTTTTGCCTGTTATAAAATGTAATGTAAAAGATCATAGAGCATATACTCTTTTGTGTCTGATTTCTATCTGTTCCATGTCTTTCAAAAATGTAATCCTAAAAACCTGATTCCCTTAGGGATGAGGCTTTCAGCCTCTTAATTTTTTTCCTATCTTCAACCCATCTCATGTAAGTTTTATTTTAGGTTATTTTGATGATGATCACCACTGTTTGGTTTGAAGGGTGTGGTCTTAAGGGTGTGTTATGGTCTTCTTTTTGAAATAGATAAAAACCTGACAGAATAGTTTTGTTCAAGTTAAAAGCTTCATATTGTATGTTTTGTTTGGTGGACAGTGTATAATGGATAAAGTGGAGCATTTCAGAAGCCTTATTGATGACGCTGATCTGTCATAATGAGTAGCTGTTTAGCTTTTTCTAATGATGAATTCTAATAGATTAATAATATTTTATATAATGAGGTCATGGAAGCCATAATTGTGTAGTAGAAGGGAATTCTGATGAGGGAGAAAATTGCTTTTTTTGAATGTCTGCTTGGTGTCACATACTTAATATACATGAATACTTTACAGTATAATATAGATACTTCTTGACTTACATCCAAAACTGGAGGTTGAAGGGTAAGAAGTTAGGTATAAGGAATTTTGAATGTCCTGGTGAAACTAATTAGACAGTTACATGAGTGGAAGGGTGTTGTCATGGCTTCAGTGTGCTTTATTTATTGATGTCTCACTATTATAACATTCATATCAAAAGAGAAGTTGTAAAGGTGATGGTGCTTAGTTTCCATAGGGTTGTTATTATTCTCTGAGAGAATAGGTGAAATAGTCCAAACAAAGAGAAGACAGCATAAATTATATTTCATTCTCTGTTGTATCATGTAAAAATTCTGAAAAGAGAAAAAGTGTTCCTAACAACTTTTACTAGTTCTTTGTTATTTTCTACCATCATGTAACTGCTGTCTGGCCACCAATAGAAGCTTTTGGTGACTTGGAAGAACATGACTTTTAGGAATAGACAAGGGGAAAGTCAGAGGAGGGGAATAGCTACTGAATGTCTACTAATGTGCCAGGCACATGCTTCCACCCCAAGGACCTGCAGGTCACCTTTGGGAGCATTGTGCCTATTTTGGGGGAAGCTGAATGATAAGAGGATATTAAGGGACCCAGGGTTCCAGAGCCAGTGACTGGTGCAGCTAGGTCAATGTCCCAGGCCTCCTCTGCTCAGGGTGCCTTTTTCAAAGCCTCCAGCCTCATAAGTCCATTGGTTATGCTTATATGCATGCATACAAGTCCTTTGGTTGATCTCTTAGGAGAACTTAACTAAGGTTTATTGTACCTCTGTTATGGAGAACAGGGTGGTGGGGGCACTTCTGCCACAAACTCACACTTACTAGTAGGAAGGAAATTCTAAATGTTAATACTACATTTCATTCACTTTGTCCCTGCTTTCCTTCCTTTTCCCAGCCACTAGGTTTCTCACACTTATAAACTCAAGATCACACCTTTTCATTTGGGGATTTGCACTTCTTCCTTAATTGTTTCTCCTGAAAGCAGTGCATTCTATGAGGCACCCAGACTAAAGAAAGTAGAGGCATTAGGAAATCTAGATTTCAGTCACCTCTGCTACTGGTTTTATTGGGTAAGATATCAGATTTGGAGAAGTTGCCAAAAATGGAAAATGAATTCTTGCATAATTGCTGCCTCCTCCCGCCCCCAATTTTAAGGAAAATATTATAGAAAAATAAATGATGTAAGAAATATCATGTGTATGACTCTGCGTGTGTATGTAGCATGCATGTATTCTGTGTACCTGTTGGTATGCATTTTCAAAGCTCTCTAGGCTCTCACCATCTTAAATCAGAAAAACTGATGATTGTCCTTTGATTTTCCTGTCCAACTAGTATTCACACACTGAGGGTCTCTGCATCCCCATTCTCTACATGTAAGCAGAAGGGTCCCTGGTTATTTCTACCTTTCTGTATAACACATAGGGCTGAGAATTTGCTACTAGGGCTTCTGGAGGGCCAACTAGTAGAGAACTCTGGTAAATTGCTTCTCTATTTTTAGTTTAATGATTAGTGTTTCGAGTTGATTAACTTCTTTATGTGCAGTGCATTAGAATTGGAGTTAGAAAACTCTTCAACATTATTGAGGACCATAATAAAGGAATCTTTCTGAATAATAAATAGAAAAAAAAACAACTATAATTATGTGGGTAAAGTAAGTAGAGAAGTTGACTCAAAAATCACAAGTTACCAGATTGTGTTCATACTTATGAAACTAATGTCTAATTTAAAAAGAAAAAACAAATCTTTCCTGTTTAGCCATGCAGTTACTTACCCAATTTCTGGAGAGCCCCGCAAGTCTCCTGCCTCTCTCTCTCTTAACTCCCACATCCAGTTTCCAAGTTTTACATCTTTCCTCTGTCTCTTTTTTGGGCAAAGCCCTCAACCACTCTGCTTGGCATTTTCAGGTCTTTTCTTTTTCTGCCTCTAATTTTGTACCATCCTTCAACCTCCCTCCCTGATGCAGATGTGATGGCATTGTTTTTCTGGTTCCCCGTATCTGCAGGGTAAAGTCTCTATGATATGGCCCTTGCCTACTTTACCTTCCTCAGAGCCTTTCTGGATGCTGAGCTCCCTTTCTGCCTAACCCGGACAGTTTCCAGGTGATACTGGTGTTTTCTGTTCCCAAATGCTTTGGTTAGAAAGCTCTTTTCACATCATTTACCTGCCAAATGCTCCTACCTCAAGGATCACCTCTTCTGTGAAGCTTTCCTGACACCCTAACTTTCTTGACACCTCTCCACCCCTCAGCACATGCCAAGAGAAGACTGAGACCTCACTGGCCCTATCAGTGCTATCCCTAAACACATTACTGTATTTAATTGTTGCTTTGGTCACTTTGGGAATGCGGTCATATCTTACTCTTTTTTTAAAAATTTTAAATCTTTATTGTTGAGCATATTACAGATGTCCCCCTTATCCCCCCATTGCCCCCCCTCCAGCCAGTTCTTGCCCGGCCCCAGGCCTTCACCACCCTATTGTCTGTATTCTTAGGTAAAGCATATATGCATATAAGATCTTTGCTTACTCTCTTCCTGCCCTCCCACCCCCCTTCCCTCTGAGATTCCTCAGTCTGTTCCATGTTTCCATGCTGATTCTACTTATTCATCAGTTTATTTTGTTCATTAGATTTCTTGTTTGTTTATTTTGATTTTTAGATTCAGTTGTTGAGAGATATGTATTTATTACTATTTTATTGTTCATACTAGAGGCCTGGTGCACAAAAATTTGTGCACTGGCGGGGAGGGGGGGTGTCCCTCAGCCCCACTTGTGCCCTCTCACAGTCTGGGACCCCTCGGGAGATAACGACCTGCTGGTTTAGGCCTGCTCCCGGGTGGCAGAGGGCAGGCCCAATCCCTAGGTGCAGCCCCTGGTTGGGCTCAGAGCAGGGCCGATTGGGGAATTGGGGTGCTGCCCCCTGTCATGCACAAAGCAAGGCGGATCAGGAGGTTGCGATGCCACCCCAAGTCACGCTCAGGGGAGTGCCAATTGGGGGGTTGGGGTGCCGCCCCCTGTCACACTCAAGGCAGGGTTGATGGGGAGGTTGCGGCGCCACCCCCTGTCACGCACAGAGCAGGGCCAATCAGGGTTGGGGCGCTGCCCCCTGTCACGCACAGAGCAGGGGCCATCAGGGGGGTTGGGGCTTCGTACCCTGTCACACACAGAACAGGGCGGATCAGGGGGTTGGGGCGCCGCCTCCTGTCACCCACAGAGCAGGGCCGATCAGGGGGTTGGGGCACTCCCCCCTGTCACACTCAGGGCAGGGCCGATGGGGAGGTTGTGGCTCCACCCCATCACACACAGAGCAGGGCCGATCAGGGGGTTGGGGAGCTCCCCCCTATCAGGCACAGAGCAGGGCCGATCGGGGTTGGGGTGCCTTCCCCGGTCATGAACAGAGCAGGGCGGATAGGGAGGTTGTGGCCCCGCCCCCGTCACACACACAGCTGCAGGGCGATCAGGGGGTTTGGGCGCTGCCCCCTGTCACGCTGCTCCAGGGGCCAGGAGGCCTCGCGGCTCCGCTGATCCCAGTGCTGGGAGGCCTCGTGGCTCCGCTTGACACAGGGGCAGTGAGGCCTTGCTGCTCCGCTGATCCCGGTGCTGGGAGGCTCCGCTGATCCCGGTGCCAGGAGGCCTCGCGGCTCCGCTGATCCCAGTGCCGGGAGGCCTCGCGGCTCCACTGATCCCAGGGCATGAGGCCTCGTGGCTCCGCTGATCCCGGTGCTGGGAGGCATATTACCCTTTTTCTATATAGGATAGAGGCCTGGTGCACTGATGGGGGCCGGCTGGTTTGCCCTGAAGGGTGTCCTGGATCAGGGTGGGGGTTCCCACTGGGGTGCCTGGCCAGCCTGGATGAGGGGATGATGGCTGTTTGCAGCTGGTCACACCCCCTTCAGGGTGGGGGTCCCCACTGGGGTGCCTGGCCAGTCTGGGTGAGGGGCTGAGGGCCGTTTTCAGGCTGGCGGGCGACTGAAGCTCCCAACCTCTCCTTTTTTTCTTTTTTTTTTTATTCTGGAATTTATTTACCTTCTATGGCTGTCACTGGAGCTGAGAGCTGGCTTTAGCTCTGAGGCTCGGCTCCAGCTTGAGGCCTCGGCTGCTGAAAGCAGGTATCTGGTTTGTTTGGCTTCTATAATTGAAACAGTGTTGCAACTC